CTGTCCACGACCCTGGCTCCGGCATTAGCAGAATTCAAGATTTAAAACTTACGAAAGCCAGATGCTATATGTGAAAAGGATCAACGACTACACAAAATATAGATCATTTTAGATTACACCTTGTATCTGAAGCTAATGGAGCGTATTATGAAATTATTGCTCCTTGTCGAACGTAAATTAAAAGAGATATAAATGACAGTAATTGTAGGATACTGACGAAAATATTTTATCAGTGTTTAGTTTGTATGATGGGTAACTATATAACGAAAGGTAAAACATAAATTCCTAAGAAACAAATGCAAAAAATGAGATACGTACAACAGCAGCATATACGCTAAGCAGGCATGCTTAGAGTATGTGCACATTTTAGAATATTGATGGATTTGTAGTAGAGAAAGTAGGTATCATTTTGAAAAGTTTCCTAATTGTAATAAAAAGGAAATAACAAATATCATGCTTAGAATTCTTTACTGCAACAATGCTATTATATGGTTAAACAAATACATTTTCTTTATAAGGCCACGATATACATGAACAAAAGAAGAGATTACGAATTCCTGATGGCGCAAGGTTCAGACCGTTGCCAATTTGTAGACCTTACGTACCGTTTCTTTCGACGTTCCAGTGCTGTGAACGTGGATTCACTCATGTCGATTTAACAAACAATTCTCCATGTGATGGAATCAATACCGCAGCAGGTGTCGAAATCCTTCAACAGCCAACAGCACAGACAAGCTTAACTGGGGACTGCAACAAAAGAGCCCTTCTTAAGGTAAATATGCAAATACTGAAGACTCAACAATTTTGTTATAGTAAAAAAAAATGTTTTCCAATTATGCTCGAAGCGATGTTATTTTAGTCAGACTTGTAGCATGTGGTAAAACTATGACAATTTTACTTAAATCACAGATAAACTTTGAGAAGTTTACAAAGGAACCATGTGACTACTGCTTAAGAAGACCATTATGTGGAAGACGTATGTTGAGAATAGATCTGACACTTAGTTCTGGTACACGATCAGGTTGGGGGTTTAATATAGGAGACAGCAGAACAAACGATGGATACAGTAAGTAGATTTAATTAATACAAAATCTAACTTGTATGAAAATTCAATTCGATTCAAGATGTCCTTGTGTAATTAAAAGACGGATGAGATCAAACATAATCTGACAAATATATCTCGCCTATGAGTACACATGAATTATCATCTCTATTTTGAACATTAACTAGAATCCTTTGAAATAATAGTTAGTAATGTTGTTGAAATTTGAAATTGCGTTATTTATACTCTAACGTTTATGTTACTCCATCCAATAAATAACAATCAATTTATTCTACTGCTTCGTAAAAATTTAAGAGGGTGATGCCAACACACAGATTAATGACGCAGAGGCTGAAGGCGTTTTTCCTGCAGTTCGACTTTATCACAGCGATAGGTGCAATTCGGTAGGTTCATTTAAAACCTTTGCGGACGCTATTGGACCAAATGTCAATCAGGTGACCATTTACGTCAGCAATCAACACATTCGAATCATGAACGACCAAGGGTTTGATGAATATGTATGTGACAACTGTCTGTATGCTCTGAATGGTCAGGCAGACAGTCAGGGAATTAACGAGGACATTTACATTGGATTGAATCGGGTGATAACAGGGCGATCAGACAGAAACGGCCAAGGTGTTTGTTCGGCGACGCTGACATGGATTTGTCCTCGATGGTAGATGGCGGATTATATATATAAAGTTTGATACAGAGAAAACATACTCTTGTAACATTTACTTACTTGATACAGTTCTAACATTTTTCATCTAGACGCATTTTACTGCATTTTGCTTCTCTTTGCAGTTTCTTATGTCTTGTTACTTGTAGTATTTACCACGGTTAGAGGAAGATAAGAAATGAAATAACATTATCTTGATGCAGAAATTCTTGAACAATTTTATTGCTGAAGATTTACATGTCAAAATTACGAACAAAAAAACGAAAATACCGTGAATTCAAATAATTTAGGTTTAATTAATATAATAAGAGTACTTGTTCCCACAATAACTTTAGTCATATCATTTTCCAAAAGAAAAAAACAACAAAAAACATTGATTGTATTATACAAGTACTAGTACAGTTATGTTTGTTTTCTATGCTCACATTACCATAATAAATATTTAATAGTATAACATATATGCGTAATTCCTTTTACCAAAACAATAACGAAGTAATATTTTCATATTGCAAATGGCAAAGAAATAACCAAAAATTGCGTTTGGCATAATAAGACTTTAGGTCAACTGTAGAAAATTTGGCCAGCATACGGAGTATAAATAAGAGTGATAGAAAATACTGGTATCGTTGGGGTCCGATGTGAAATGTGTATGCTCGCGATTTTTGGAGCCAAATATCGATCACGGTCAGATGAAAATGTAAGCATTACAACTTCGCTATCTGATAGTAATCGGAACAAATAGGAATATAAATGAATTGAAACATTAAAATTAATATTTCTCGGGGAAAAACGTGTATACGAGAGATAATACGGAATACATGTGTTTAATACAAGTGTTTTATACAAACATAACAATAATCATTTACCGAAAATTGATTTCAAACCTAAAAATAGACAAAATAAAAATTGCCCGTCATTTTAAAGATCCTGTAACACAACTTTTTAATGGTTTTAAATCATAAATATGATGCTCAAATTAAGATTTATTGATATTGTAGGTCCCAAAAAGATATTACCGAATTTAACATTTCATTTAAATAAAGGGAGGTAATAAAAACTTTATTTTCTATAAAGTTTAAGTCAAATTTTACAATAAGAAATTTTAATGATTACATATGATATGCACAATTATTTGCAGTACATATTCTTCGATGTTTGAAAATTGTTTATTTTGCATAATAAGAAACAGGGCATCGGCAGAAGATTTGAAGACGGCGAAAACAGATCTGCTGCCGATGTCCTGACTAAAGCCGAGGGGTTTGGTCCTACAAAGTAGACTCTTGTGTCGACGAGGATGGTGTGCTAAGGTGCGTGAACCCTTAACACAGTAAGACGGCTTGAACGGCAGGCCTTTGTGGCACCAACAGCCCTTTTCAGGGCTACCCTTTCATATTGTCTCAGGCTACTGTACATTTAGGTTCTCATTGACCGTCGTACAGTGACCTACTGTGGATGGACCCTCATTAAGCATAAACTACATACATACTACATACATACATACATACGACATACATACATACATACATACATACATACATACATACATACATACATACATACATACATACATACATACATACATACATACATACATACATACATACATACATACATACATACATACATACATACATACATACATACATACATACATACATACATACATACATACATACATACATACATACATACATACATACATACATACAAACATACATACATACATACATACATACATACATACATACATACATACATACATACATACATACATACATACATACATACATACATACATACATACATACATACATACATACATACATACATACATACATACATACATACATACATACATACATACATACATACATACATACATACATACATACATACATACATACATACATACATACATACATACATACATACATACATACTTACATACATACATACATACATACATACATACATACATACATACATACATACATACATACATACATACATACATACATACATACATACATACATACATACATACATACATACATACATACATACATACATACATACATACATACATACATACATACATACATACATACATACATACATACATACATACATACATACATACATACATACATACATACATACATACATACATACATAAATACATACATACATACATACATACATACATACATACATACATACATACATACATACATACATACATACATACATACATACATACATACATACATACATACATACATAAATACATACATAACAAAACATAACATAACATACATAACATACAAACATACAGACATACATAAATACATAAATGACATAAATAACATGACAAAACATAACATAACATACATATCATACATACATACATACATACATACATACATACATACATACATACATACATACATACATACATACATACATACATACATACATACATACATACATACATACATACATACATACATACATACATACATACATACATACATACATACATACATACATACATAGGTTTACCACTTTGATCACAACTTACTTGATCTTTAAACGTTGAAGTATTGTGAAATCAAGTCATCATTAAAGCTTTTGGAAAAAGGCGCTATCATAAACATTTGTTAACAATCCGGAAAAAAACCTCCAGAAATATTTAAAATAACGCAAGTGTCTAGTTATTTAAACAAAAGTTTGCGAGAGCCTCGCAACGGAAGGTGGACCAATCTTGAAGATATAAGAAGATGATGAATATAAGAATGCGCTTTACATTAACGAATTCTGTCATAAAGCACTTTACCCAGACAAAAGTGGCCGAACAAATTATGTGATTTCTATTTACACAACTCATACTTAAGAATTACATAAATGTGTTATTTGTTTCGATAATTGTTTTGATCTATCCAAGTGAACATTTATTTTCGAAATTAATAAAATTAGATATAATTTAAGAGGAAGGAATACTTAATTGCAAATCATTATCCTCGATAACAATGAAAACAATGTTTTGTTTTTTTAAGTGAAATTTACAGGCTCTAATTTGATTGCGTCTGTTCTTTAGAGATGTTTAAAATTTGCAATATTTCCGTGCCCATAGCACATCGAAGGAGTTTCACTTAAACACGCAAAAAGTGCAACAAACCCCAAAAAACCCAAAAAAAAAAAATTATATAAAAAAAGGGGGCTGAATAGTAGCATCGTTAAAAACTTCCAAACAGCTCTTGAAAAAAGAGAAAACCGGAACCTGCTGTTGTGAGTATTAAATCTGTAAACAGGCGAATATGGGGACAGGGGACATATTCGAATGATGGCCCCGGTCAAATTTTCTAATAACTCAGACATGGTCTTTTGAAGGTACTGGAAACTGATATTTTTCTGTCATTGTATTCTTTCTTGTTTGTGTGTAGAAAATGAGAAGTATTTTTGGGTTTTACCCGAAACTAAGCATTTTGGTAGCTTTATATCACATCCGTGTTGTTTGTGCCGTGTGGCGGCTGTAAAAAGTCTCCCCGTACATTTAATCAATGATGTTATATTTTCGATCCTTGAAGATCGTTCAGCACGACATTATTGTTGTGCTTGTGGTATTTTTAGTTTCAACTTTTCGGCATTTTTTAGTTGGGTGGTTCCTGTATTCCTACTTGAATAATGTTGAATCACCCTTAGGATATGTTGTCTGCTTTTTAAACTTGTCTTATAACGTCTTATCTGTGATATGCAGGCCTCATAACCTCTGATCCCCTTTCAAAATTCCATTTTATGTAGTTCCGCCCATTGTTTTCTCGTTTAGGGCACACGCTTTTTATTACTTTGGGACCATACGCCGCTTTCCATGGAATGGCACGGAAGTGTCACATTGAAGGTTCCATGATACCCGCCGTATGAACACATATGCGGATGTTTTTAAATTCAAAATTTTACTATTTCATGTTTAAATGTTGAATTCTGCTTAAGCCGGTGCTAGGGGGCGTGGACGGTAACTTGCACTTTCCAGTACCGTCCATGAACAGGCTCAATCAAACCGAGCCTGCAACATTTTCAATTTTGCCGTGTTGGGCTTTCTTAAGGGATTCTGTATTTATCTAATTGTAAGTATTTCTGACTCTCCGAATGGAGGTGAAAAAGTTCAGTTTTGACAGTTGGCGCCTAGCAAGAAAGAAATTTCAGATAAATTTTGTGAAAAATCTTAACGTATGACAGACACTTTATTTGTAATTTTTGAAAATGCCATAGCTTGCACTGTGTGTTATTGATAATTTTAAAGGAATCGGGCGGATTCTGGAGTGTGCTGCACCTTCATGAAGATTGTCCATATGGGTATATTTTAGGTGTGATTTTGGCTGGATGGGGGTAAATATAAATTGCTGTCAGTCTTTTTTTTAGGAGCAATGCATGCTAACTATTATTTTCTTCAATGTATGTCATATATCATTGAATAATGCTGTGCAACTGGTTATCTGCCTGTGAGACAGATTTTGAAATATTTGGAATTGTATTTCTGGTCACACTGAAATATAAAATTGTTCATTTTTAGGTCTCTTACAATGGAGACGTTATCTGTACGTCATCTGTCGTTTATGCGGGTTACCAGGTACCAATATATACACGACTTGATTCATATAAGGATTGAGCTGATTTTAGACAAATACTTTACACTTAATTCAATAACATTTTCAAAACAATACCCGCAATAATAACGTTATTTACAGATAAAAAATGAGAAAATAGATAAACAAGACAAAGCCATATTCACAGAGTGCAGCCCCATGTATATTCCAGCTACGCAAGCAAGGTACTTTCAAGCTGCTGAAAAGACACTTAAGAACAAATGCAATCTTTAACATAATGAATTTTCCAAAATCGAGTTGTCAAGACTATCCATTATGAATATTTATCCCGTTCGAGTTTTGCACGTGTGCCCTGTCCTGTTCGGTGTTCAGCTGGGATGCTATCTGGTAGTCCTGTGTTGGGGGATACGTGCCACTCTTCCTTGTTGATCTTTCTTTTCAATATCTGGGACATATTTTTCTCTTGCACTGAAATAATATTTTTATCATCTGTATTATCAGAAAGATTGGTAAGTCTAAAATGTAAAATTCAGATAACATTGTAGCGGATTTGACATTTGTCTTGACATTCATGATAAGATATGGAGAAAATGTTGAAATCGCTTATGTCGTCATTAACGTTTAATTCATATGAACGGATTTATCAACAATATACGGTTCTATTTATGAAATAATTGAAAATAATTGCAACGGTTACGTTTGTTTTGCGGAAACATGTATGTATCATTTTAAGTTTTCTTTCGAGAAAATGATATTTCATACTAATTTATACCCACGATTTCCTTTTTCGAATTGTAAAACAACAAACGCTCTTTCATTATTGTTTAATTTAGTGTTAACAATTTTACACTATTTTTATTTTCTTTTATTTGAAGCAAGTTAAAATATTTTGACTGCAAATTTATTCTTTTTCTTCTTTCCAGACTTATAAGAACAGAAGAAATCGCAACATGATTGGCTTTCCTCTTCACAGAAATAAAAGTTTCATTCTAATTCTTCTTGTTGTCGTCAGTATTACTTGTAGTGTAAATGGACAGCTTTGCCAGAAAGTCGTCGTTGCCGGGAGAATAATCTGCAAGGATACAGCACCGTTCATTGACGGGTTAGGACGATGTGCAAGGAGTGTTCCTTCAGAGTCTGGCAAGAAAAGGTGTGGCTTAATTGGATCTGGTTGTCGATGTCAATCTAATCAAGTTCTAAACAGGGTGGCAACAAATTCAACTGCGATCTCCCAGTTGTCAGGTCTGATTGGACGGAAGTGACTACATCCTCGGATTGAAATGCAAACATATTAATACATGTGTATAAATGGATGACACATCATTTTTGTTTTCATGATTTAGATTACTGTGTTGTATTACAAGATTTCTTTGTAAGTATGAATATTGTAACAATATGATTCTTATACGTATCCGATGTTTTTCGTTTCCATTTCAAAACCAGTTACTGATTGAAAAAGACAGAAAAGACAGAGAAAACAATAAGTATTGAGTTATAACACAAACACACACGTTTATCATTATTGTAATTCCATCCAGACTATATGTTAAAAAAACTATAAGATAGGAATTGTATGACAAAAAGAGTCATCGTGAAGAACTCAGTTATAAAACAACTACAACTACAGAAGGTCTATGAATAATTAAGTCTTTTGATTTCTTGTGAAATATGTCACTCCGTTTAAACTTGGAATTTGCTTTGCCAATCTGTGTAACGAATATTTACTTCTACCTACATTACATGCCGTTTTGCCATAAACCAATCGGCAACTATACCGTTATACAATCAAATTTTATGTTATAATACTTGATAATACACAACGTGATTTTTTGTGACCTTCGTCGTGAAAAAGATGGTCCAGTTTTATTATCTCTCGTAACTGTTATGATCAATATTTTATTATTATATTGGATAGTGTAGAAAACACTCATTCTAGTAAGAAACCCATACATAAAATGTTTCTTGCGAGACGATACTCATTTTTCTTTATCATATCGCACGAATACCTGATTGCTCAAACAATCGTTTTCTATTTCCGTATAAAATACTGTCTTCTTACCACAAAAATCTTGGTATGTGTTAATTTGAACGAGATGGTGCCACATTTTATACAGTTAAAATGAAATATTCAAAACGTTATTAAAAAAATAAAACGCGGATCCTCTTTTGTATTGTATTGTCCCATGCAGATCAAAAACAAAAGGTGAAATACAAGTATGGAAGAGAAATCGATATTCGGTTGGATTGAGAATGTTCATGAGTGATAATGGAAATGGCAACATATTCCTCAATCTTAGCACGTAGCTAAGTTAAGCAGTATTCCAATCTGACTAAAAGTTCAGATCTACCTATTTCTGTAATGTAGATCTGATTACGACCGTATATGTTTCGCCTTCTTTATAATTCGGATTTCCCGAGAAAGCTGTATTTTATTCGTGCAATGAAACCGGTTTTATATAGGCGTTAGAAAAAATATCGAAATAACTTTATCCGTGGAAGTTAAACAAATTGTTAATTTTTGTTAGAAAAAAATATTTGAAGTATTTTTTAACAAATTAACTTGAAATAGTGGAGACTATTTTTAATTGGCAAAATTGTTTTGCCAGTTTATTTGTCGGCTATATGGGCAACGGCAAGTTTGTTCTCGAAATCGTGACAATTTCCTTCTCAGTATTGGTTTCCCCAGGGTTAAAATTAGAAACCGCATCGCTTTCAGAATTGTGAAAGCTCGCCGATGATTGGCTATGTGAAAGACCACCAGAAATAACTTCGTTATTGGTCACTGTTAGATCTAAATGCGGAGCGTTATTTAGTGCTAATTCTAATCAGATTGAGCAGTATTCAATCTTCAATTCAGAGCCATTTATTTGACTTAGTGTTTATTTGTCATGAAAATGTACAATAATTATAAATGAAATATTATGTTTTATCTCCACTTCACTGGAACACATGTGTAACGTGCACGGGCTAGCTGTTATATATAATTTTTCTTATGGCTGCTTTGCCAGTTGATTGGTTACAAATGATTATAAAATGATTTATTTCAAACTTGGAATTCATAGGTTTAATTAACCCAATGGTTATAAGCAGTAACGTGCTTGAAAGGTTAATAAGTGACCTTGAACTTGAATATAAATTGGGGGTGACACTTTTAAGCTATTTCATATATATAGAAAAAACCACTTGCGATATCGAGTTTTCAATACTTTAGTTAATTAACAATTACACCTAACGCAATGTTAAATTGATGCAATTGAAATACTTTCCGTAGAATAGTGCAAGAACCCAAAGTAATTAGACTTAAAATATTTAGTTAATTAATCTTCTGTGGTGTTGACCACTGCTTCGGCAAGCTGGACAGAGCTGATCGTCCACAGCTTGAGCTCATTTATACCCAATAACTATTGTATTTAATAATCGTTTACTGAAGTTGAAGAAATCAAGCATCCAAAGAACAGGTTATTGATAAAATGGGTTCGAATAAAGTGGTTACGGGAATGGCATTGGGAGTTCGAATATAATTTTTAAATACGAATTTTTGAATTTTACTAATTTAACAAAAATATGCCCTTATATCAAAATAATTGCTTCAGATTCAGTTGTTAAATCTAAATCATTTAATTTTTGTATTTATTACTTATTATCCAAAACGAATCAAACTCTACTTTTTTAAACACCCAAGATAACCATATTTGTTTACAAATTTTAATTTACCCGACAATTTAGGTACCAAAACCACTAAATATCAATTTCAATCATCTACGAAAGCTCAAAGGCTGAAGAGAACAATCTCACATTACCCCGCTCTTCCTCTCAAAAAAATCCCAACTAGCGTCTGCGTACCGTCCCTGCGTGCATTGAGCAATTATTCAAAGCTATATTATAATTTTATTCAATAAAAATTACCTAACACTAAAGACATTTGAGTCTGGTCTTCTTACTTTACCCATTATTTTTTTCTTATATCACCAAAGATTCATATTTTAATTCCTCAACGAATATTATCTAGCTCAATTTCTGATATCATGATACCATTTTCTTCTTTTCCCCATTTATTTTTTTTATCGATTTTTTCTTTATTTTAAATTTTAAGTCCTTTGTTTATTTTTTTCAATCAAAAAACCAACCCATTTTTTTAAATTTCCCTTTTTTGCCCCTTCAAAAAGTTAATTTTTTAAAGGAAAAACCTTTTTACATCTTATCAGGTCTTTTCCCCTTTTTCCTCTCCTTTCCCCACATTTAAAAATTTTTTTTGGAAACCCCCTTCGAAGGGTTTTTTTCTTTTCCCAATCCCCTTCCTACATAACAGGGCACAATGTTTCGCAATTCCAAATTCCCCCGGGCCCATGTTTTTCACCTCCCCTGCCCCCTTTTCCTTTTGCCTTGTCCCCCTTTGTTCCCCGGGGCCATTGAAAGGCCCTTTTAAAATTAGAAACCTTCCCCTAAAAAACCCCCCCTTAGGCCCTTATCTCGTTTTTACGTGTTTTCCCCCCTTTTTGTTTTTTCCTTACCAAGGATTATTATTTCCTTTCCCTTTTTTTCTTAACTTTTAGGGCTTTGGGTCTCTTTCGTTACATTTAACCTATTGCTCTACAAAAATTCCCCTAAGAATTATTTCCTTTTATCGACAAGATCAATTCCAAAGCACCCTATTTTACCCGATACAATATAAATTCACAAATTGCTCTTTCAATTTCATTGTATTTCTAATAACATCAATACAAACACCATACTGTTGCATGTGAAGTCAAGACATAAAACAACATCATTTTCCGATTTCAGCTACTACAACCTTGCGTTCTTTAAAAGTGTCTTTAAATACCTCAAAGGTAATATCTCTGTTTGTCCCTTGACTTTTAATAATCACTACTTTGTTGATGATACAGAAAGTTCAAAAGGTGTAAAATTTTTTCTTGCTCTTTAAGTTTAAAACCAAAAGATTTTCTGAGAATAACAGAACGGTAGCTCCTTATCTACCTAAGCAATTGTGACTGCCACCATTACCAACCCTTTCCATAAGCATAATAAACCAGCCATTTGAATGTCCTGACGAATTAATATTGTGTTTTTGTCATTTTCGCTCCTTGTTGTTTGTCAGTTGCGTGAGTACTTCTGTTTTGTAGATTTTGTCCAAATGTACTTCATTACAATTTCGCCCTGTACGATTTCTTCTTGTATAACCACTATCAGATTCGCTTATAAACTGAGGTATTAATGTATGGTTTTCTTTTGTCTATTTTCATTGTAATAACGATTTTGAAAATTCTTTGTGGAAAATGTTGTACACGCCTTTGATCATAAACTAATTGGTGTCTTACATATTTGTTTATCTTGCCGTTCATATATTCCTTGACGCTTGCATCCTGTCAACACTTGTTTTAAAGAAGATACAACAGTTGTTAATTTTTTAAACTTTTCTATACAAGTTATCTGTCCTGTATACTTCTGATCATTCCTTGCTGCTCATTTTCAGCCCCTTGTGTAGAAAGCTTTCCATTTTCTACAGCACGCCTTTACTGCATCATTCAAATCAATGGGCCTAGCTTGTTTTATCTTGAGACCGCTGTCTGAATTTACAAAAGTGCATCAATGAATTGTTTTTTATAGCTAAAGTGTCACGAACATCTATAGGAGCATGAGGGTTACGCCAAGTTTGCAAGACGACGAACCCAAACATCTTCCAAGTTCAGCCATTGATTCGGTTACTATTTTCGATTGTCTATCTCTCAACTGAACTCTATATAACTCAGTCTGATTTCTTAGGTGAAAATTCTATCTTCGAGTTGCTCTCACAAGTTCCTCATAATTGTGTTTCTTTTGTTGTCAATTTCCGAACACTCCTGAAGCTTAGGCTCGTAAAGATAACAGATAAGAGTAAAAACCTTTCTCATTTTCCATTCCAACCAATTTAAAGTTGCACAAGCGTCAAAGTGTGCTTTATAGTTGTCCATTCACAAGTTTTCCGTCATTTAAGTTGCAGGTTTTCATGAAAGTAAAAACCTTGAATCTTTTACTTTGTAATCAAAATTTTTGTCTGAAGTTTTGATTGTTATCCCCAATTTCTGTTGTTCTTTTGGAGTTTCAGGGGTAGCAAGTCAACAATCCTCCGTCTTTGGGTGATCATCTGTCTTTCACATCCCCTCTCATGTTTTTCACTTTGAACAGGCAATGAAGGCAAAAGACGTCTAGGCTTTGAGGTAGTCTTTCTACTTGTTTGTAAAACCTTCATAATATTCTCTGTTTTACCATAGCAGGTGTTGATGTAGCCAAGCTCAATACTTGTCTGGTCAATTTGTCTTTGAAGACTATCAATATCTCTCTGAGTTTCAGCCTACGATTCTCATTCCTAAGATTTTCCATTTCATCCGTACCATATAACAAAAAAAAAATCTTCATCAGACCATTTACTTCTATACTCAGCCATGTTCTAAAAGTCTAGGTAAGTTAGCCTATCTAAAAGCTTGATGTGTCCCCCGTTGGGCGCCAATTTGTAACGTGCACGGCTAGCTGTTATATATAATTTATCTTATGGCTGCTTTGCCAGTTGATTGGTTACAAATGATTATAAAATTGATTTATTCAAACTTTGGAATCAAGTTTAATTAACCAATGTTTATAACAGTAACGTGCTTGAAAGGTAATAAGTGGACCTTGAACTTGAATATAAAAAATTGGGGTGACACTTTTAAGGCTATTTCATATATATAGAAAAACCACTTGGATATCGAAGTTTTCAATACTTATAATAACAATTACACCTAACGCAATGTTAAATTGATGCAATTGAAATACTTCGTAAATAGTGCAAGAACCCAAGTAATTAGACTAAAATATTAGTTAATTATTTCTGTGGTGTTGACACTTCGGCAGCTGGACAGAGACTGATCGTCCACAGCTTTGAGCTCTATTTATACCCAATAACGTAGTTGTATTTAATAATCGTTTACTGAAGTTGAAGAAATCAAGCATCCAAGAGATATTGATAATGGTTCGAATATTGGTACGAATGGCATTGAGTTCGAATGATTTTAAGTACGAATTGTTCTGATATTTTACTAATAACAAAAATATGCCCGTTATATCAAATAATTGCTTCAGATTAGTTGTTAAATCTAATCATTTAATTTTTATGTATTTATTACTTATTTATAAACGATCAAACTCTACTTTTAAACACAAGATAACATATTTGTTTACAATTTAATTTACCGACAATTTAGGTACAAAACCACTAAATATCATTACAGAATCAAGGCTGAAGAGAACAATCGTCACACATGTAAAGTCTTAGTACGGTATCTTTAATTAAGTAATTTAATCACTTGATATTTTTGCATAATATTAAGATCAATGCATTTCTTGTTGTTTTTATAACTTCCGTGCAGTCTGACCAGGCTCTGTATTGTTGGCTGACAAACTTTAATTATTCAAATTGATATCCCTAAAATTGATAATGGACAGTCCCAAAAATAGAAGTGGGACAAGTCCATTTAAAATATTCAGCATGTTCAGGGTTAATATACAATTATTGTTTGGAATATAAGACAATTAACGTAAAATATTATACAAATCTGATACAACTTCGTAATACTCAGATATTAAACATCATTTTAATGTGTTTTCCTTTTTTAATGAAAATTCATAACGCTTATTTTATATATTCTCTGAAATGAGCAATCTATACTTTATCACAAACTACTGCAATATAATCGAAAGCAAAAAGGGTCAACAGTTATTGGTTTGCACTCTTGTGAAGGTGCGGTGTCCTGCTGAGTATCGCGACAGTGTGGCTGGGTTACGTAGGGGTTTACGTTCTTTAAACGTCGACTTACATTGTTGGCCTTTTGTCTCATTGTTTTAATTTTTTCCTATACGTTTCTGTTTGGAGAAATGATCTTTTTTCTATTCTTTTAATTAAACATCTTCACTGGCAATATGTAGAACGACTTGAAGTCTTAATTATATGTCTCCTTTTCTCTAATATATATATAGCAATTGTTACCAGTTTAATGCGTTTATAAATGGCAAGAGTATGCGTTACCATTATGTTAAATCAGTTTCAATTTGGAATTCAATTTAAAAATATATATATATTCATGTTAGTCTTAATTTCTTTTAAATGTATTAACGTTACCTTTAATCATCAGAGAAATCATTGGCGTCCGCGCCGAAGCGCGGCGCCCTTATTGAATGAAATCAGATTTTGTGAAAGGGCGACAGCAACTTCTCGAGCCTTCTAGTCACCTATAATAAAAGCCGATCATTCCGATCGGTATGAGGGTGCTTGATTATTATTAATAATGAAATGTCGCGATATGTACAATGAATAGCGAACTGGAGAATTTCGCAATGCAAACATTTTCAAATGAAATAACCTTTTCCGTCTCTTCGTTTTTTTAATGTACACAGTGAATTATTATGGTATGTTCAAATAGAATGATGGGATGATGACCTATACATTCCAAAAATCTATTTATAGAGGGATGTACTCCTATCGGTAATTCCCGGTCTCTCCCGGTCTATTTTGACCGGGATTTACTAGTGACCGGCGAATAGTATCACACGTTTATTGTCCGGTCTCTCCCGGTTTTGGAGTAGATGTTTGATATCGTTACAGAACAGAAAACACAAACAAGATATGAAAACAATATTCATAAAATATTTATTTTTTATATAAAAATAGATATTAAAATAATTGTTTAATAAACAATTATGCTCAACATGATCAACATGGTAATATAACCAGTGTCATATTTTTACTTAGTGTGAAAAAATACTTTAAGAGGGGGTCTTCGCTTATAGATAGCGATAACATAATAAGGGACAATTCCACAAGTGTGGTGATCATGTGTTACACATGTGGATTATAAATGATTGTATACATGTATATCCATTGCTATTAATAATCACGATCATAAAGAAATAACAAGTAATATTCTAATCTCTAGCATGCCAATCAAAGTTCATAATGAACAATGTATTTCGTCCGTTCATTCTGGTAAAAACCAACTAACCATTGAAAAGTTTATAAGAATATCTTGTCATCAAATGTGTACTAGTTCATCTACACTTTCTGCATTTCTTGCTTTGCATCAATGCTTTTCCTGTAAGTTATGGAAAAATAATTCTCTGCTCAAATTGTTTAAAAATTCACGTGATCAATGCAGTGTGTACGAAACATTCCGCAGTATATATGTACTGAAAATTTAACACACGAAAGATTTACAGATAAACAGTGATTGATAAAACAAACATATAAACAATCTTAAGTGGTCGTTATATGAATATTCCCGCCGTGTATGACCAACCCAATTTTTATGACAAACCTTTTGCGACTATTTACGATAACAACATTTTGAAATATTTTGTGTTGCAATACCGGATATAAGTAACATGATTTACATGTAAAACGACATGATAACGCATAAAATATGTTAACAGTTGAACCAGGTCACAATTAAATGAACGCTTAAAGTATAAACTATCATCTCACTTACAAGTTTAAAGATAAAAGTACAGCTAGAGAAGATTCGCTTCAATATTAAAATCTGAAATGTTGTTTGTGAGCAGATGGATATTTTCGCTGTTTATAGTTTTCCCAGGTATGTTTACTTTTCAGATATTTCTCTATAATATAGTTATAGGTCTTTGAGTAATAGTTGATATTATATATGATACAAAAATTCCTGATACCATAATATAATTCATGTTATAAGCTCATTGTCTGGTTTAGTGGTAGGTACAAAATACATATCAGCATAATGATTAAATTAAATGATATGCATATCCCACAAAATAAATAATTAATTATTTTTTATCAAATATGATGCGAGTACTTAATACTATTAACATCATTATTTGTTGAATAACAGACCCTTCATTATGAGCAAACTAATGTACTTTAGATATTTAAAGCAGCTAGATTCTTTCTATTTATGCACCATACATTTATTACTCCTATCTCCATCCTTGTGGAAAAGGGACACTTAATGATGTAAAATCTTTGTCATACATTTATTACTGCTATCTCTATCCGTGTGGAAAAGGGGCACTTTAAGATGTAAAATCTTTGTCATACAGTTGGAATCAATCACGTTAAAATACCTGCTAAATACACCAGGAGTTTGAAATATCCGCCGCCATTTTGGCGCAAAATTAAACTAGTCAATGGCTCAAATAGAGCAGTTACAGATGGAATAACACATCTACGTTTACTTACCCCGCTACCACGCCACCCCACTCTGCCACGAGGTGACGAGGTGTTACCCCGCTTACCCCCCCCCCCCCTCAAGGTGATGTGGCATTACTATTGACCAGTGTACTGCTAAGATAGAGGTTTTATTCCAAAACATTAAGTTCACTCAGCAAGACAATATTGAAATCATCGATTTTTGAAATGCCATGTTCTCTGAAGTGCTATTCAAACAATATCGCTAGTGATAAAACAATCTGTCACTTTATCAGATAATGTTAATACTATACTTAATTTGTGAAATCCAAAGTCAACAAAAGTATCGAAAAAATGAGACATTGCCTTTGATGAATGTTTTATTCGTTATTTCATGTATATTGTTATTTGAAAGAACTACTGTTTTATAATTTAATATGTGATGATCATTTTAGGTACAACATTATCTGCTATAATAGAAGTTTCAGAGGATCTGTCAGTGACCATCACATGCCCATTAAATGTAACATACCCAACCTGGACTGGGCCTGACGGATTGGCTAACCCAATAAATAATGGTCAGACAATCAATGAACCAGGCATTTCATGGGTAAATAGCAAAGATCTGAAGATAGATAAGACCATGTTAAAGCACGATGGTAACTATACATGCTCGGACGACAGTGGTGACAATAACACTGTGGAAGTTGATGTTCAGTGTACGTAATTCTACGAAGTCCCTAAATAACCATTATACACGACAACATAATCCTGAATTTAATTTGATTTCATTTATATTTAATTCATGTTCGATTATTAAATCTTAATATAAATAATGATAGTAAACATGATTTCGTTTTAGGATAATAATATTGACATCGAAGTGCGATATAATGTAATATCACTTTAATATTATATGATATTTAGGCATCACAATATATATGTGAAAATGTTTTTTTTTCTAGTTTTTTTTTCATAATGTTTTATACTTAACTATCTTTAAATTTTGAAACTATGATCGTTAGTTGATAAAGGATGAGCGTCGAATCCATTTCTTGTCTAGTTAAGAAAATGTTTATACTTTTGTGTTTTTTGACTATATTGCAAACAATTAACGATTATCATGTGGTTTCTTTTTGAAATTTGTATATGATTAGCACACTTGTTTAAGTAATATATTCTATACAGAATTCTAGTTCTAGACGATGACAGATGGGCTTCTTGCAAACATTCTACCCTTTCAGATTCAATATTTTGTGCTCTTAACCTTTACGGATATCGTTGAAATGACGACTTTTTTACAATTTAATCACACCCCGTTGTAAATTGTTATTCCATGTACATTTAACACATACCACAATACAAGTAATTCTAAACCACGAGTATTAAATCCTATTTCAACTATTCTATTTTTCTTTACTTTTTTTAGATTTTCACTCTTCGACACATTTTACAACAGCCACTGTTGACAACTCAACAACCACTTTAACATGCGCTTGTTACGCTAATCCTTCATGTAAAATTGTGCCGCACATTATAACTACTTTTAAAGATGGACAAAAAAACCACGACGCGGTTACCACATTTAGTGAGTGCAAAGCTGTAAGTAACACGATTTACTTTTATATTGACATATATCATAAGGGATATTAACTTTCATAAATAACAGAACGCCGTTATATCAATATAATTGTAATATTGGTGATTCATTGTTTCAGCAAAAAAATGCAATTCTAAATATTTTTTACTTGGAATCTCTGATACAATGCATTCAGTTTATAAGATTATTTATTAAAGATTATCATCATGTCCCTTTGTTTTCTGATTGTAAGATAAAATTAATATTTGTTAATTCGTCCACATTGCGACGATATATGAGCCGCGTCATGACAAAGCCAACATAATGGATTAATTTGGTTGAGTCTGTTCATGAACGGTAATGGAAGTGAAAGCTTAATATGCTTATGTAAAACAAAGAATTGCATTATAGCTAACGCCCTACATTAAATTCTCAAATGTCGTCAATGCATTACTTTCTGGTGGATTTTAAGATCAATGCATTACTTTCTATTTAATGGTTTTAGCAAAGGATCATGGCCATTTTGGTTGGGCGCTTCGTTTAGTCATCCATGTCTTTTGTAAAGAACTTAGCATGCAATCTTTTGTATAATATTCTTGGATTTTAATTTCGATTATGATATATCTCTAAGATGTTGGTAAAATAATAGCTAAATGCTCTCTGACGTAATCATTGTGTATAATGAACATTTGTTTCTCACTGTTGAATCAATAATCATATATGGGTCACTAACTAAGAAGTTAGTTTACTGGTTAGTTATCCGGTTATGTGGAGCCTCCATCGATATATGATTTTTTGAAGATCTATTTCTTACAGGATCCGCTTCGAAAAAACCAAAGGAAATGTAGTAGAGTTGTTTCAGTGATGCATGTTTACAAGGAGGACAATGGCAAAAAGATGAGCTGTACATTTCAATATAAGAACGTGACAGATTATCTATCATGTATCAAGCAAAGTTTAGTAAGTATATAACGCCACAGTACAAATGTTATTATATAAGATTGTGACAGTTATATGTATATAAACGCTATTTGTAAATATAAGGGGGGGTTAATAAATAGCGTTTATATACGCCATATGTGTTGTATCAAATCATTAGTGAAAATAACAAGTCAAAACAAATTATTACAATAAACATATATCATCGTTCATCGGCAAGTCACAATTTTTGGCGGTACAATACAAAGTACAGAAAAGTACCATTAAAAGCATCATTCGATATTTCTAATATTTTGACATCGTTTTTCTATTTGTATAAAGTCCGAAATATTTGATTCTATTTCTGGAAGAAAGAACATTATAGAGCAAAGTCATTTTTACCAAATGATTAAATTAATAAAAAGTATTATTCAATAAAATGTACTTATATATAAAGTGTATGATACTTCTTTCCTTCATTTAAGTCCAATAAACTCTAATCGCATGATATTTCCAGTGCAAAAACACAAATAAGACATTTGCATTTTAATTATGGCGTCGAATGGTATGGAATTTACACACTTGGCATATAAAATACTCGTCCCTTGTCTTGAAATTACAAACTAGATATGATAAGTACCCGACCTGAATCTATCTTATTGACTTGCCTTTGCTTTCAAATTGGATCAGTCAATCAATGCTTAAAGAAGTTCAATTTTAAGAATACAACATAATTTTACTGTTACAGTTCCACCAACACTTGTTAACATCTCGGCAGAAATGGTTAATTCTAAATTAACTTTAAACTGTTCCACGGACTCTTCTAATCCGGTATCTTCATTAACCTGGAGGAGGGGTGTCAGTCCTAAATCCATTTTGAACAATGTAATAGTGAGTGGTTACAGTGAATATACAAGTGATGCTGAATACAATGGTAAAAATATAACTCAAGCTATTGATATTGATCCGAAGCATATAGACATTGGAGAGACCATCTTCTGCTGTGCCCGCTATCAAGCTCAACAAATATGTGATTCTATGAGCCTGAACTCTTTTCAGATATGTAAGTACAATTTTTTAAAGCGTATTACCTCCTTAGGCGCAAAGTTGTTTTGTCACATTTTAAATATACATGTATTGGAGGACTAATTAATTCAGAAAACAACCTTACACAATAGGAAGCTAGAATTAAAATAATTCAGTTTATATAGTTTGTGAATTATGCTCTTCACTATGGTTTGTTTAAACATGACTTTGTAGTTCTAGTATATCGTAACTTCAAAATAACTATTAATCAAAGATTAATCGACTCATTCGATTTGAATGTGGATGTTTTTCTTTTTATATCATTTAACACTATTGTTATTACAATTACCTAAATCTAGCTTACGGAACGTCTGTGGTTCTACTCAGATGCCCGTTTATGCCTGAAATAATGCACGGAGGGGCACCTGAGGTCTTCCTCCACCGGTAAAGGTGGAACAGCTAACCTATACTGTGCCGATGTGACGTAGAACTTAATCAAAATAAATTCAGAATGCATGTAAATAATAGATTATTCACTCTTAACAGTGTTTTCTTTTTTTCAGCTGAAGGTTGTGTTTCTAAATCCAGTTTAGCAACATTATTTATTGGTATATTCCTGCTCCTTGTGTAAGAAAGGAAGACGTATCCGTTTTATTGAAAGACATAATAATATTGATGTCTAAGAAGATCTGCATGGTTGATAAATACCAAACTTCTTTAAATAATTAGTCATGGCTATCATTTCTTATTTAATTGATGCTTTATATCTAGTCGGTCAAATATTTCAGTATACATTATGAATGTTGGCATTTTATTTTTTTTTTTAATTATATTTTCTTTGAGCTGTCATTTAATCTATACAATAGATCGAACTATTTGAAAAAAAATGCGGAATTCTATTTTTATCTACAATTGTATATTTCTTACATGTTTTCTGTTTTTCTTGAATTTTTTATAAATAAACATAAAACACATTATTTTGTGGTATTAACATTTTTTTATACATTTAATCGGCGGTCATATAACTATGATGTCTGTCAAACAACACAGGTATCTCGTTTCTTCGTTATAACACCAAAAGATCCAAAACAATGTGTTTAATTCGAAATCAAATAAATTATTATCTATCAAACTGAATGCTTGTGGCACAAGAAATTACAAATTTGTCAAGAAAAGTATATGGTATTAAATCACTTCACCCCGAGTATAATACTGAGTGCGGTGATGCGAGGAAAATGATTATCAGTCCCTCCTATACGTGATATAAAATATCGTAAAAATATTAATGTAAACGATCAACAGTTTTAACTAGGTCACATGTCAGATAACTTTTAAAAGTAAAGTAAGGATTGCCCATTTGACATTAAAAAAAACAAAACAAAAAAAAAAACATTATTTATTGAATATTAAGGAATGAACTATGTGAATCATATTCTTTTAGATATTTAAAATGTTTTGTAGGATCAGAAGGATATTTGCAGTGTTGATATGCATGTAAGGTTTGTCTTTAATATCTAAAATGTATAGCTCTAAAGATAACACAGTTATTAGAGTCACGATTAAAGTCATGAATAAAAAAACAAACTTAATACCATGAAATGCTTATGGTATAAGCTTGACGTTAATCAATTAGGTTTACGTACATTTCGAAGATCATCAGCGATGTGATAATTGTTTCCGGAAATATGTACATTTTTACCACGGATTGTAACACTACATGTATTCAATTCATTATTTCTCTTATTCTTACTTCTTTTTTTCTCTTATTCTTACTTCTTTTCTTTCTCTTATTCTTACTTCTTTTGTTTTTTTATTATTCTTAAAAATGTTATAATCTAGTATTTGACAATCTTTATAATAAGTTATAGAAAGAGCATCGAATCACGAGGCTATCTGATTTGTACGAGGGGGTCGTAGCCTCCGAGTATTAGTCAGACTGCCGAGTGTTTTACTGTTCTTTCTCTTTTGTATCATAGTCAAAATATTTACACGTTCCCTGATGTCATAATATGAATCCCAAGAAAAAAGTAACCGATGAACAAGCACCTGAATATAATATTTCTACCGCTGTCCCTTTCTCTGCAGATCCCAGACAAAATGAGCCAATCAATGGGTATGCTCTGGTATGCGGATGGCTAATACCTTCATTTCAGTAAACGCACTATGCATGTATATGAATACGTTTTAACTCTGACATTCTTTCAACAGAAAAGGCCGTATGATACAAGTTTATCTTGTCGTTGAAAAATTCGATGGAACTAACCCTGAATAAAGTATGTTCATAGTTTGAAGACTTTGCTCCTTGACTGGTTCATTTTTTCTAGGGTTTCCTTCTTGCGACGACAGCGAAAGAGATATCGACAGAAAATTCATTTTATGGGACAATAGGAGATTACTTATGATACAAAAGAAAAAAGAAAATCAAAACATTCGGCAATCTAATTTATACTCTGGGGTAACGCCCCCTCGTACACATCGTCGTGTGTCGATGCTCATTCTATTTCTTAGATACGGCGATAAATTTATAGTGTAATAGGTAGATTGAAGCATATAAAGGCAATAATGTTATATTATATTTGAAATATGCTATGGATACATCATATGCTGATGTGATAAAAGTTTCAGAGGACCAAGAAGTAACCATCATACGCACTTTAAATGTTCAATGTCAAACATGGACCGGACGGACTGGCTAACCTAATTAATAATGGATAGACAATCAGTGAACCAGGCATTTCATGGGTAAATAGCAAAGATCTGAAAATAGATAAGACCATGTTAAAGCACGATGGTGACTATATATGCTCTGATTACAGTGGTGATAGAAAAACTGTGGAAGTTGATGTTCAATGTACGTAATCCTTTGATACTTATACAATAGATGGTATTAGACATACTCATTCAACAAAGATACTTATTTTGAGGAATGAATTTGATAAATGAATGTGCGCATGAGCTTAAATATTGGAAAGTTTTAAGTTATGCAACTTTTTTTCTAGTGCAAACTGTTCATTTATAACAAAATGTATTTGATTTATACAAACCAGTTTTCTTAATACAAATATAACCCAATGAACGTTTTGAAAACGGTCTCCTTCGGGGTTATAATTTAAATGTATGTCAAATGTTTTACAATTTTACCTCACTTATTGTAATTTATTATTATACATATTTACATATTTGCTTACTCGTCACAACAACATGTTAATTATAATTATTAACCAATAAGATTATATAAAAATATCAATTCTATACTGCTTATGTGTTTACTTTTTAGACTTCCGCTCTTCGGCACATTTTACAACAGCAACTATTTACAACTCGACTACCATTTTAACATGCACTTGTTATGCCAATCCCTACTGTAAAACTGTCAGTAACCTTATCATACGTATTAGAGATGGACGAGAATACAAAACAAATACCACGAGTACCGGGTGCAAACTTGTTAGTAACCCACCAGATTTTTTTGTGAATAAAATTAAAACAGCGCAAGAGAGTCCAGATATTTACGCAGTATATAAAGGTGAATTAAAATTAAAAGGGACTCTACAGAGTTTTTTGACATAATGAACTAGGAAAAAATCTAGATTTTTTTTAACCGTTTGATGTAGGTTTATATATAATAACTTGTGTACAAATTTCAGATCAGAAGCTCAATTCAGTTTGCGAAAATAATATTTAATTGAGCAAAATTACCAAAAAAATGGAAATCGTTTTAACGCTCCCAATTCAAATCTGTCAAAATGGCTCTAAATATATCGATTTTTTATTTAGTTCTGAGTACATGTTGTATATTTCTTTCTTATCGTATTACTTTTTTATTATATTATATTCCGAATTTATTTTAGTAAGTTTTTTAAATTTTATGTTTTTAAGTTTTTGAAACCTTTGTGATTGACCTTTTGAAAAGTCCAAATTCTTGCGAGTAAACAATTAACTATGGAATTTTAGTGCGTAAGTGACATGAAAGTAAGTTGTAAATTATTCCTGTCAGTAATTATGGTAGACTGCGGAGTAAAAGCGGAAAATGCATGCGAATGTTACCATTGTAAATTGATATACGACATGTATTTCAAGTGTTGTATTTTAAAAGATATTCTTGAATTATAAATGAACAACTTTTTTCAGACGAACAAGTTGTTGTTTGTAATTCTTAACGTTTCTCTCGATATTCCATGTCACATTAACGGAATAAACATGTACATTAAAGATTAAACTTATTACATCTTGTTGTTATAATGTACATATGAATCACATTTGTAAGCATAGTAAAAATGCTATCTATATAACAATTATATTGAAATACCTTTATATGTATCTATCCTACAGGATCCTTCTTGGGATAATGAAACAAAATGTCGTGTCACTACAGTAATGCATGCTTACAAGGAGGATAATGGTTTAGAGATGAGCTGTACATTTCAATATAAGAACGTGACAGACTATCTTATCATGTATCCCAAAGTGAAAGCTTTATGTAAGCATTTAAATCATGTACACTTTCAATGGTATACATGTACACGTTTTTTGATATACATGTTCACTTTCAATGATATATATATATAAATGCTGTAAAGTCAGTTTATCAAAATGTACTCTACTCTGTTAAACTGAACAATTTTAACACTGATTGGTTTATGTGAACACCGGACTTAAACAGGGTTGTTCCTTGTCACCTTTACTATTCAACCTGTATATTAATGATTTGGCCTTGAAATTAAAGCCACAGGCAGTGGGGTTGATATTGATGGTGAGAACGTACCAATCCTGTTATATGCCGGTGATATTGTACATATAGCAGAAAGTGAAAATGATCTTCAAAGTATGTTAAATGTTCTTCATAATTGGTGTATTACAAACCATATGAATGTTAACCCACTAAAATCTAACATTCTTCACTTTAGAAATCCATCTTTAACTTGTTTAGATTATGTACTGTCTTATTATGTACAACTTTAAACTATGTTACATAGTACAAATATCTCGGTCTTGTTTTGACCGAACACCTTGAATTTCTTACAGCTAAAACTGTTGATTAGGCTGCTCATAGAGCATTAGGGATGTTAATTGCTAAAACTAGAGTTTTTGGAGGTATGCCTTATGAAGAATATACAAAAATGTACGAAGCTACTGTTGTTCCAGTTATCACATATGCATCGTCTGTTTGGGGCTGTAATACTTTCTCTTGTATTAATGCTGTGCAGAATAGAGCTGCATGCTACTTTTTGAATGTTGGAAGATATACTCCAAATGCAGCAGTCTATGGAGATATCGGTTTGAAACCTATAATATATTTTTGTTGGAAAACTGTTATAGCAAATTGGAGTAGATTAAGTCATATGAATATAGGGAGGTTAAATAAACAAATATTTTTATGGGCAAGTAATAAGTCAGGTAACAGATGTAAGAATTGGAATTTTAAAGTCTGTAAGTTGTTTAAGAAGTATAATATGGAACGATTTTGCAATGTTGAAAATACGATACAAAAACAAGAGTTGTTTAATATTATATTGCCTTAAGTACTGGAAGATTACATTCATAATTGGAACTGTACTGTTAATTTAGAATTAGGCCGAAATGGCTCTGGTAGAAACAAATTAAGATTATATAAAACATTCAAGAATAACTTTGAAACTGAAAATTATTGTAAGTTATTTTTGAACAGGTCACACATGGGTGCCTTAGCTAAATTTCGTGGTGGCACAGCTCCAATTGGTATAGAGTAAGGACGCTACAATGGTTTGCCAGTGGAACAACGATTGTGCTCCCACTGTCCAACTATTGTAGAGGATGAAAAGCATGTATTATAATATTGCCTCTATATGATTCCATTCGTAACGACTTGATTCGAGAAGCACAAATGCTAAACGATGGTTTTGATACCCTCTCAGACATTGATAAAGTAGGATATATTCTCTCAAATGCAGACATTGTATTTTTAACTGCCAAAACCTGTTTTAAGATATTGAATAGACGAAAACTAATTTTATACAACTGACATTATTTTAAATAACTTTTATGTGGTCTTAGATATACATGTACTTTCTAGAAAATACCTTTGCTAATAATCTTCTAAACCGGATTTTGAATAAATTTAACCACAACATAATTTCTATATAGAATTTGTGGAGGTATTTTGCTACCTCAATATTTTAAATTACATCAGTAGATTCATTTTATCATATGTTTTTCACAACTCTGGTTTAAATTAGCAAGGGTATTTTAGATTTTTAGAATTTTACATGTAAATAGTAAGTCAACCTTTAGTAAATCTTAAAGATTGGCAATGTGTATTAATATTGTATTTTATATGAAAGTCCTTGACCTAATTTCCGATGGCACACATAGTGTTAATCCAGATAGATGCGCTGTGTAAATGAATGGTTAAATAAACGCTATTGGTTACCGTTTAAGCGATTTTTAAAAAAAAGAGAAAAATCAGACATTCTTTTTTGCCACAAAAGTAGTACAACGATAGCATTCACTTTGTTTCGTTCAAATTCATGTTACGCATTTTATTAACTTCATAAGGTAAAAAATACATAAATGTACTATTCTGATAGATTAAATATGCTGCCTTTAATTGAATAAAGTTGATTTCCACTCAACCTTCAGGATAAAGTTCATAGTATCTATACATCAAAATGACTTGCGAATTTCATTTTATTGTATTTGATTATTTCTTGTATTTATGAAACAATATTTGTATATACATTTGTACACTTAATGGTCGACTGTTTATACATAAGATATATGATGTATATAATTTTGAATTGAAATAAGCTTGAATTATAATAGTAACGTTAGATAAGAAAAGCAAACTGTAAGAGCAATGTTAGGGCTTACATGTTCATTACAAGAAAAAATATATTATAAAATTTGGTTTTGTATTGAGAAAAATATATTAAAAATCACACACCTGTACGAACAGTTTGTAATTTCTTTATTGAGGCTATTGTCCATCTAGAATTTGCTTGAAACATAAAAAATATTTGACTATACTAATAACGTCCTATAGTTGTTCATATACATGAAAAACTTTATATTGTAGTTCAAATTTTATTAAATTTTTATTAATATATATACGTAATGATTTGAGCAAAATGAGTTTGTTTGGCAGTAAAACTTTGAATTTTGGATATTAAGGATCATTGCAATACACGCAGTTAATATGTACATGTTATAGTCTTTAACTGTTATCTTATATATATGTATTGCAGCACTTGTAATCAAACTGATGAATACATAATAATTAAGATAAAATGCTTCGTCTTTAAATCACCCGCCAGAACTCTCTAGAAACAATTAGTTAGCAGCATGTTTTGGCTATTTGAGAAATATAATCTAACTATTGTTTGATTAAAAGTTGAGAAATTCCTACTCGGGGAGGCTGACCCAATGTAGTGTTACTTTTCCAGGCCTGAAAGGTATTATTTTGATTCCTTGGACTATTTAACTCTTATTGAATTATACATTTCGACCCCTTATGAACTTTAAGCGTTTGATGATTTGTAATCGTATAAGGGAGGTAAATCCAAACCTGTGTATTTCAAAAGTTGTTAAGGCATTACTTCCCTTCCCTGGCAAGATGACACATGGGGCATAATATGAACTTATAATAATAACTATTTCAGTTATATTTACTTTTATTATTTGCCACGAAAGAGTCATGTTCAATATATTCGAATTAGAAACATATAACTGTTACGTTGTTGTTTTTATATAAATATACATGTACATTCGCAATACCTATTATTATTATCTATTGCGGAAAAACTGCAAGATATTTAGATCTATGAAGTAAGTAAGTCCGTCTCGAGAACAAATGCCTCCCAAATTGAATTTGCTGTGCTCCTTTATTAGTTAAAACCTTTCAATATGAACATACCTAAGTATGGAAGGTCATGAAAACAGTGAATATTTTCACTCCTTTAGTTTCAGAACTATACAAAAGAGACTAGATCTAATTTGATATTGACTTTATGATTATAAAAAATGCATCAAACATCTCACTTTCTAGGAAAACCTTGAAGTAATATATCTAAGTAAATATTCGATTTTTTGTTGTAACATCATGTTGTGTTGTTGAACAGGCCTTGTTTGAAGACAGGTAGTACAACGTGAACACTGTACTGTTATAATTAAACGATATTTCAATCGATGAATGTCAACTTGACATTGTACTGAGCAAGTGTTCTTTTTTATAATTTCATATTTAAAGATATAATATTCAGTGAATGAATATCATTGAAATCCATGTTTGCAAAAGCAAACAAGTTTTTGAACGAAACATTTTAATGCAACAGTAACTTTTTCATTCTCCTTTTAGTTTACTTCGCACAAACATATGTATAAGTCATATGTCGTCTTTGCAACTTTACTGGTGCTGTTCCGTCACGAACGGCATCAGGGCTGAATAACTGACGTTCTATAAGCTGAGGCTGCTCATTTGATTTATTCCGTGTTTATTGTGAAAACTCATCGTTGTGCGACATGTAGATTTTTTGGGACCTGGGTATGCTTTTCAGAATTGCTAACGACTCAGGTATTACAAAAATTGTACCTTATATTCTACCTTTTTTATACTTTGTCCGAGATGAAACATATAAAGAAAAATTGTATTATTAAAGTCAAAATGAATATATTTCCATTTGTTTTGTTTATTGTTTGATACATACGTAATTAAGATTCAACTTTGACCGAAACAGTCCGATTGATTGTCAAGAACATGAGTCGCACTATAGCATTAGAAACTATTTTTGAAGAATATTGCATAAGGAGGAAAATGTTGCTACTGTTTAATTCAAATTCGATTGAAAATGAGGAATAAGCACCAAATTCTATGCTGCCTTTCCAGTGTATATACCATATCATCTCTAAAAGAAAGTCCACAGAAACCGCCCTATAGATTAAAATAGCAAATAGTTAAAATGTTACTCTATCAGAAAATAGATCAAAAGGCAAACCAGCCGTCCTTAAAATATTGATTTTCGATGTATGTGAGAAGTTAGCAGTTAACAGTGAGCAAAGCAAAAAGGCATTACGATTTATATAGGGAATCAATGATCTGCTGGTATGCTCAGCTGGGTACGCAATCTAGCGGGGCGTTCCAAAATATAGCGTAAAAGTGCTTTGCCGGTAAGCTCAGCTGGCTAAGCAATCTAGTGGGGCGTTCCAAAACAAAGCGTAAAAATGCTTTGCTGGTATGCGCAGCTGGATAAACAATCCAGCGGGGCGTACCAAAATATAGCGTAAAATGCTCTGCTGGTATGCTCAGTTTGCTAAGCAATCAAGCAGGGCATTCCAAAATATAGTGTGAAAATGATCTGCTGGTATGCTCAGCTAGCTAGACAATCTAGCATGACATTCCTACTTATAGTGTAAAAATGCTCTGCTGTTATGCTCAGCTGGCTAAGCAATCTAAGGGTCACGCCAAAATAAAGTGAAAAAATGCTTTGCTGGTATGCTCAGCTGGCTAAGCAATCTAGCGGGGCATTCCAAAATATAGTGTAAAAATGCTTTGCTATTATGCTCAGCTGGATAAGCAATCTAGCGGGTCATTCCAAAATATGATGTAACAATGTTCTGCTGTTAAGCTCAGCTGGCTAAGCAATCAAGCAGGGCATTCCAAAATATAGTGTAAAAATAATCTGCTGGTAAGCTCAGCTGGCTAAGCAATCTAGCAGTGCATTCCTAAATATAGTGAAAAAAATGCTCAGCTGGCTAAGCTATTTAGCGGGACATTTCAAAATATAATGTAAAAATGTTCTGCTGGTATGTTCAGCAGGCTAATCAATCTAGCAGAGCATTCGAAAATATAGTTAAAAAATGCTCTGCTGGTTAGCTCATCTGGCTAAGCAATCTAGCCGGGCGTTCCAAAATATAGCGTAAAAATGGTCAGCTGGTATGCTCAGCTGGCTAGGCAATCTAGCAGGACATTCCTGAATATAGTGTTAAAATGCTCAGCAGGCTAGGCAATCCAGAAGAGCATTCTGAATATTAGTGTAAAATTTTTTTGCCGGAATGCTGAGCTGTCTAGGCAAACTAGCAGAAGTATAATTTTTTTCTGCTGAAATGCCGAGCTGGCAGAGCAATTTAGCTGGGCTTTCTTAAATACAGAGTAAACATTCTTCCTTTTTTACTTCTTATGCATCAACTTGTTATGCCTCTGGAAATGTTATTTTTGTTGCGAGATCTATTTCACTGGTCTTTGTCTGCGCCTTTGACTGACATCCTCGAAGACTTCCAGGAGTTTGGTACAAATGGATTGATAGCTTATTTTTGGTTTGAGTAACCCTCAGGAGTCCATTTTGTTGGTCTGCAACTGATTATTTGGCACTCGTAGACTTTCTGAAGTATTTAGTGCCAGTGCAGATAATGACATTTTGTACTTCAACGGGACCCTTAAGTGCCTATTTCTTTGGTCTGCGACTGTTTCTGGGACAATCGCAGACTTTCAGGAATTTTTTTTATGTTAATGCAGATAATGACATTTGTGAATTCTAAGGACCATCCAGACTCCATTTCGTTGGTCTGCGACTGTTTCTAGAACACTCGCAGACTTTAAGAAATTTTCGATGCCAATGGATATAATGGTATTTTTACTTCAAAAGGACCCTACTGAGTCTATTTTGTTGGTCTGCGACTGATTCTGATTTTGGAACACCTGCAGACTTTCAGGAATTGTTAGTGATAATGCAGATAATGACATTTCAGAGTAAAAATGCTCTGCTTCTGACTAACGGTTCCTTAAAATTAAAAAATGTCATGATCTGCAATGGCACCAAACATCCGGAAAGTCTGCGAGTCTCAAAGAATCAGTCGCAGACCAAAGAAATATACTCTGGCGGTCCCCTAGAAGTCAGAAATGTCATAATCTCCATTTGCATCAAAAATTTCTGAAACTCTGCAAGTGTCCCAAAATCAGTCGCAGACCAGAAAAAAGACTCTGGCGGGTGCCTAGAAGTAAAATTTGCCATCATCTCTATTGGCACCAAATTTTCCTGAAAGTCTGCTAGTGTCCGACAATACGCCGAAGGCCAATGAAATGGTCCCTAGAAGCAAAAAGTATGATTATTTCCATTGGCACCAACCATTCCTGAAATTCTGCGATTGTCGTGGAATCAGTCACAGACCAACAAAATGGACTCTTGAGGGTCCCTAGAAGTCTAAATTGTCGATATCAGCGTTGGCACCAAAATTCCTGAAAGTCTGCTAGTGTCCATCAAAAAGTTGCAGGACTATGAAAACGTCTCTTTAAGGTCTCTAGAAGTAAAAAGTATCATTATTTCTATCGGTATCAAGCATTCCTGAAAGTCTGCGAGTGCCTCAGATGTGCGTAGAAGTCGAAAATATCAATAAAACGTTGGCGGCACCAATAAATCCTGGAGCTCAAAATCTGACCATTCCAGCAGAGCATATTAATACTATAATTCAGAATGCACCGCAATGCTTATCCAATACAGCATTTTAACACTATTTTTCAAATGTTCTGCTAGGTTGCCTAGCCAGCTCGGAATATAACGCAAATTTAATACTATATTAAAGAATTTCTCGCTATATTGCTTTGCCAGCTGAGCATTGCAGCAGAGTATTTTGACTCTAAACATTGTATTTAGAAATGCCATGCGTATTTTCTTAGCCAGCTAAGCTTTCCAGCAGAGCATTTTTACACTATATTAAGGAAGTCCTGCTAGATTGCCAATACAGCTGGGTATTACAGAAAAGCATTTTAACACTATATTTAGGAATGCACTGCTAGATTGTCTAGCCAGCTGAGTATTCAAGCAGAACATTTGTACAATATTTAGGAATGCCCTGCTAGATTGCCTAGTCAGCTAAGCATTTTTTCAAAGAAGTTTTACACTATTTTAAGGAATGCCCTGCGAGATTGCCTAGCCAGCTGAGCATTCAAACAGAGCATTTTTACACTATATTTAAGTAATGCCCTGCTAGATTGCCAAGAGAGCTGAATATTGCAGCAGAACAATTTTATTCTTTATTTAGGGATGCCCTGCTAGATTGCTTAGTCAGTTTAGCAATTCAGCAGAACATTTGTACACTATTTAGTAATGCACTGCTAGATTGCCTAGCCAGCTTAGCATTCCTGCAAAGCATTTTTACGCTATATTTAAGTAATGCCGTGCTAGATTGCCAAGAGAGCTGAATATTGCAGCAGAACAATTTTATTCTTTATTTAGGGGTGCCCTGCTCGATTGCTTAGTCAGTTAAGCAATTCTGCAGAGCATTTTTACAATATATTTAGTAATGCAATTCTAGATTGTCTAGCTAGCTTAGCATTCTTGCAAAGCATTTTTACACTAAATTAAGTAACGCCCTGCTAGATTGCCTAGCTAGCTTAGCATTCCAGCAGAGCATTTTTACACAATATTTAGTAACGCCCTGTTAGATTGCTTAGCAAGCTTAACATTTCAGCAGAGCATTTTTACACTATATTTAGTAATGCCCTGCTAGATTGCCTAGACAGTATAGCATTCCAGCAGAGCATTTTTACAAAATATTTAGTAATGCCCTGCTACATTGCCTAGCCAGCTTAGCATTCTAGCAGAGCATTTTTACACTAAATTAAGTAACGCCCTGCGTGATTGCTCTGTCAACTATATTAAGAAATTCCCTGTTATATTTCCTAGCCAGCTTAGCATTCTATGGTTTAGCAAAATAATTGTACAAAATATACCATATTATAGCAAAGGTAACTGCCAACACTTTAAATGAGTGGCCGTCTATCACCAAAAAATCTGTTCTAGATAATACATATAGATAGTATGATAAGTATATTTCTTAGTATACATTGCAAGATTCAAGTACAAGTTTGTATTCTAATGAGACCTAACCCAGTAAAAAGACAGGACAATGCATGTTATTTTTCTTGAAATTACTGTTTCTAGCCAGAACGCAATGTCATGCTGTGAGACCTAACCCAGAAAAAAACAACAAGAAAATATGACTTTCTAGGAAAACCTTAGTAATTTAAGTAAGTATCCGATTTTTTTTGTAACATATTTTTGTGTTTTTGAACAGGCCTTGTTTGAAGACATGTAGTACAACGTTATAATTAAACGATAATTCAATCGATGAATGTCAACTTGACTTTGTACAGAGCAATGTTCCTTTTTATAACTTCATATTTAAAGATATAATATTCAGTGAACGTATATCATTGAAATCCATATTTGTAAAATCAAACGTGTTTTTGAACGCAACAGTAATTTTTTCTTTCTCTTTTTTGTTTACTTCGCACCAACACATTTGTAAGTCCTATGTCATCTTTGCAAGTTTACTGGTGCTATTCCGTCACGAACGGCACCAGGGCTGAACAATCCACGTTCTATAAGCTCATTTGATTTATTCCGAGATTATTGTGGAAAATCTTCGATGTGCGATATGTAGATTTTTTGGGACCTGGGTATGCTTTTCAAAATTGCTAACGATACCGGCATGACAAAGTTTGTACCTAATGTTCTACCTATATTATACCTTTCTGAGATGAAATTTATAAAGAAAAATAGTATTATTAAATTCAAAATGAGTATACATTTCCGTTTGTTTTGTTTATATTTTGATATTTCAGGAAAAAAAGTTTCAATTTAGTTCGAAACAGTCCCGTTGGTTGTCCATCGAGAGTCGCACTTTTCAAGATCCCTTTATGCTTGTAGCATTAGAAATTGATTTTGATGGATGTACAAGGAGGAAAATATATCTAGTTTCTAGTTGAAATTTGATTGAAAATGAGAAATGAGTGGCCGAATATACTGTCTTAAGACCAGTTATCTTTTCAACCATAAACTGGTCTAGATAATAGATAGTAAAAGAACTAGGAACTTCTTTAGATAAATATAAATAGTACAAATTGCAAGATTCAAGTACAAGTTTGTATTCTTTTGAGACCTAACCCAGTAAAAAGACAGGAAAATGCATGTATATTTTCTAGAAAAAACCTTGAAATTACTGTTTTAAAGCCAGAACGCAATGACATGCTGTGAGACCTAACCCAGAAAAAAAAAACAAGAAAATATGACATTCTAGGAAAACCTTGAAGTAATATATATCTAAGAAAGTATTCGATTTTTTTTCGTAACATCATGTTGTGTTTGTGAACAAGCCTTGTTTTAAGACAGGTAGTACAACGTCAACATTGAACTGTTATAATTAAACGATAATTCAATCGATGAATGTCATCTTGACATAGTACTGAACAAGTGTTCCCTAGTCATAGAATGTTTATAAAATCAAACATGTTTTTGAACGAAACATTTTAATGCAACAGTAACCTTCAACAGTAACCTTATTTTATTGATTTATTTTATTTTTTCCTTGGTCGGGTTTTACGTTTTACTTCGCACCAACACAGTATAGGTCATACAGCGACTTTGGAACTTTACTGGGGGAGGAAGACTTCATGTGATATTACATGCATTATTTCAGGCACGAACGGCTACCAGGGTAAAACAACGGACGTTTCATAAGCTATCTTGATAGCTTCCTCCAATAAAAGATTCCAAAGTCCCTGTCGGGATTTGAACCCACAGCGGTGAAGGGCAAGAGGTTTTAAGTGTACGACCTTAACCACTCGGCCAAAACGCCCCTTATGCGATTGTTAATAAACATTAAATGTTTTTTGGGGTTTTTTTTGTTTTTTTGTAAATGCGACCGGACTTAATACAAGCCCTTTTAGTTACATTAGATGTACATGTATGAGGAGCAAAAGATTGCTTTTTACCAATGACATCTGACAGAAAACTCGATATCGTATTCAAGGAACGTCTTTACTGTACATATATTTTGGTAATACTGGCATTGTGCATCGAAAGTCTATGTCGTCGATCAAATGTCTATACCATATTACTCCTAAACCGAAAGTACCAATGTTTTACTAAGGTAGAAGAATAACCTGGTTTATGTACTCAGGTTATTGTTAACCACAATTCTTATCAAAAGTTACTATCTAACAGTCATAGGGTGTTTTCTGAAGAAAGGTCGCTATCAATTTATGACAAGCACAGTTTGGTTGTTAAGCGAACTGTCTATTCTAAACTAAGGTTTCTAACTAAGGTAAGATTTGTAAGCTAAAAGTGTCGTCAAACTATCCTTTTTAAGCAAATAACACTGTCAAACTAACCATTCCAAGCAAATGCCGCTGTCAAACTATCCTTCCCAAACAAAGATAAATTTACAGACTACATGTATATTCATTCTAAGTAAATAAGAATATTAGTGCCCATGTATACTGTATAAACGCAAGTGTCTTTATGTCCTAGATAATAGCAGGTTAAACATCTGGAAAGGCTATGTTAAACAATTATTCAAAATAAATATGCTTATAAAATTATCTATCCATTTGTACTCTAATGCGACCTTACCCAGTTAAAATACAAGAAAATGTGTTTTCAAGGAAAACCTTGAAACATCTATATTAGTTCATAATTTTGATCTGACACATGCAGCGCACGTGTAAGTTGTACTTTTCATTAACAGAAATCCTTAAACGTGTTATTGTTTTGAACAAGTTATTTATTTTTTTATATAATATTTGAAATTGTTTATAGTAAATAAAGAAATAATATTTAACCAGTAAATATTACTAAATAAATCTTGTTTGGAACTGTTTTTGAACAAAGTCCTTTATTCCAACAATAAAAAAGAAGCATTCAAAGAACTATGGTCAGTTCAAACTGAATTACAGAAAGCGGTCCATTGTCTAGAAACAAAATATTCAAAACGCAGCGGTGCTCTGTTTGAACAAAAACTGCTAAAACTTATTCTAATTTAACTAATTAATATTTTTTGCAATTTTATTCATATATTTTTGAAAGACCATTTTGTTTTTTTTATGCATATTCGAAATTTTAAGCTATTGGTCGGGGAAATGCGCACATAGAAGTATGTACAAACTTCATTGACTAAACAGCTCAGATACTCTCGATTACTCATTTAATTCCATTGTTTTTAAAGAACCATATTCCATAATTATTAGAACATTTTAGCCTAATCCGAGGGTTATAAAAAATATCAAATCTTAATTATTTGATTGGCCAGAAACTGCCACAGTATGTTCACTGACTAATGAAAATCCTGAGATTTGAGACGTAATTCAGAAAACAAATTATACCCCAAGGCCTGGTTGGGTAAATAAACTACAGTCTTTCGTAGGGACCAGTAAGTAAGGGGAAATAACAGATATAACTGTGTAATGTGTAGACTTGGTACAAATGTACGTAGATGACAATGCACAAACAGCAACATATGTCATAAAGTAGCCTTGGTTAGTGTGTGCAAACTTGATCACTCACGTTTTCTTTCTGTCTATTAGCTAGTTCAAAGCAACATATGGTAGCCTTTCAAAACAATTGAAATTAAATGGTATATAAATAATCAGAAATGGTGCAAAACTTTAATTACAATCAGAAATTTATTGTCATACACTACGTAAATTGGTGAGTTATAATTTCATTTGAATTTTGTTTGCAATTTTCATTCTTAAAGTTAGTTTAAACATAGGACTGTGCATATATGTTTTACAAAAATATATTTGATATTTGAAATAAGGTTAAAAGTCATTTAAGAGAATACAGGAATATTTTATTGAAGGTAAGATTTCGTTTTTCATTTTTGTTACGTTCTAAAATTTGTGTTTAACAAAATGCAGTTTTGTTTTTTTTCTTCTATCGTCATTTTGTTTCGGTAAATTGCTTTTGGAATATTGAAATAGCTCTCGCTCATGTGCCGGAACATTCTGTCATGTTTTTTCATTGGTGTTATATTCGTTAAATAAAAGCCCGCGTCCGTGTTAAAATATTCTATTATCCTTTTGTTTTAACTTTTGGAATAACCTTATTCTTGTTTGATACTGGAAAACACATACACAGCAATACGAGTACGGCACACAACGTCATTAAGTTTTCTTAAACAATGAAATTAGATTATATGTCTCTTTTAAGAAATGGGATGCATTTCTCAGATTTTTCATAACTTGAGCAATATCGTTATTGTAATAAATCAAGTCTGAAATTAACATTATATGGTCACGACTTTACTTTCCTCATTGTTTTCATTAAAAAATGTATTTATTTTTGTCAAATGAAATAATATGTTTTATTTTTTAAATCTATTTAAATTTCCACACAATGCGTTTGTTTTAATTTTCACATATAATTAATTTGCGTTTTAAACTGTCAATAGTACAAATGTCTGTTTGAAGATTTTACCTGAACTAATGGCATTTAACAAAATAAATATCGTTATTGATCATAGTCAATATGTCATACCAATCGGTGCATTGAATATCAAAAGTACTAAAGATTGCTTTAAATAGATCTTACGGGAATCATTCTATTGGTCCCTGGTTTCTTTCTCGTGCCCAGTTTCGCTTTGGTAATTATTACCTAATTAGTTATTGAAATCATCCAAATATTGTCAAAGAATATTATGCACGTACATTATTATATGTTATGTAAGGATTTAATAGTTCATATCAATAATGCTATCACCATGTTCGCTACGGTCCTAGTGTTTGGCCTAAATAAAACAACACGTGAATGGAGATTATCCATTGTTTTATATAACTGTAAGTTTTCTGATGAAAATATGACCAATTTCAACAAATTAAATATGTACATCCGGAACAAAATTTTCCATAATCCACCCCTTGTATTGCTCAAGTGTTAACGTCAAGAATGTGCTCTGTCATTATATGCATACGCCATTTCTTAAGATAAAGAATAAGTCCTCCGCTTTGCTCAAATTTTCTTTTAAAATTACTTATTCACAAAAAAGTACAAATTTTGATGGGTTCTATAATTCAGGTTAACTGTGCAAATGATTATGAACATTAGGTTAACCTGTTCATTAGAATAAATAACACACAAAAACGGACGTAACAAACGCAATATTCGTGACACAATCTTCGAGATAAGCCTATTTTTCAGAATCTTAATTATGTAATTATTATCTCGGATATGGTGCTGAAAACTAAATACTGGACATTAAATAAAACTTCTTCATGAATAATTCAGTGTGGCTAAAGCCAGTTTTCATTTGTCACTGATTCATCGGAACAAATTTGAAAATTTGTAATATCTTTGAAATTTGTTTGACATGTATCTCTTCCTTCTTGGAGGAAATAAAGAAATCTAATCTTTAGAAGGATCATTTAGTACTTAACGCTAGTAAGGTTAATCTTTGCAAAAAATGCGAGTAATGAAGTAAACCTGGAATTATTATGTATATTTCCATTTTCTTTCAGATTTTGTTTTGAAGAAAGTGAGAATGTTCGTCTGCACTTGTATATTATTGATGTTCATCGGCCTAGTTAATGCACTTGAGCCATGCAATGAATGTGACTTCATTAAGTTCAATCCCTGCTGTGTAAAGGGGAGTACCTATGTAGATCTCAAGCAGAGAGGCACAGAGACTAGCAATACACTTCCGGGTGTTACCGTTATCCAAGGACCAACTGCCCAGAGCTCCTATGAATGTAGTAACAGAGCTCTTTTAAAGGTTTATATCCATACAAACATTTTTTTCACTATGATATTTCAAGCACTGTTGCAAAAGTTTAAGCAATACAGCTTTATTAAGCAGACAAATAATAATAATGATAATAATAATAATAAAAATTATTATTATTATTATTATTATTTTATTATTATTATTATTATTATTATTTTATTATTATTATTTTTATTATCATTATTATTTAAAGAAAGTAACACATGAAGATACTATCGTTAAAAGAAATGTATTGGATTGAATCCTTTAAGGAACTTTGGGTCATTGTCAATAACCTTGAGGAACGTCGGTGGCTTTAGACAATTGCCCGTTCCTGTCTGAAATAATGTACAGAGAGGCCCATTGGGTCCTCCTGCACAAGTAAAGCTGGAATGTTTCCTTTTAACGCCCAAACATGTTTGTATTTCAGATCAATTTTGATGCATTAACAAAAGAGCCATGCCAGCATTGCTTAAATACAGTTGAGTGTGGGCGTCGCATGCTCAAAATTGAACTTGAACTTAGTTCTTCTCAGAGACAAGGTTGGTTGTTTAATTTGGGAGACAGCGTAACAAACAATGGCTATAGTAAGTAGCTTTATATATCCACAACAAATGAATCTATGTCAGCTACCGTTTTGCTTGATTTTACGTCGGTTGACTTATTTTCTATATCTTTGTGTTTATTATTGCATGCATAAGAAAATAAGAACCATCGATCTTCAACAATCAAACAATAATTGCAGGATAAGAGGTACAGCTCACTTGCTGGTTGCTAGTTACAGCAGAATTTCAGTACGTTATAAAATTAGCTGTAAATTATTCACACTGACAATATCTTTCGCAGAAGCGGTGGGTCCATCGCATTTTAATGAACTGGTAAAAATACAGGTGCGGTTTTAAGGAGCATGCACCCTCTCCCCTCCCCATTTCAAGTGTGCAAGCCAATCATTAAGTGTCATTTTATTAAACTTTTATATTGTGAATCAAGTAATTAAAACATTTCTAATCACTTCGCTCACAAAATTCAATAAAGCAATCACCTTATAAACTTTGAACTTCTATAGATAGATACTACAATATACAAACATATTTCATCTTCAGTTTTCGTTTTGTATGTTAAAACTTCTCCCTTACATTCCCGAAATGTAATAATTGTCAATTGTTTGATATTTCTTTCAGAGGGGGATGCAGGTACTCAAACAAATGACGCCGAGACAGATGGCAATTATCCGAACATCAATGTATATCTAAATGACAACTGTCCTAAACCAGGAGCAGCCTACGTGTTCCCGAATTTTATTGATTATAGTAAAACCAAAACGAGTCTTACCATCTATGTCTCCAACGAGTTCATCCGAGTAAGAACCGACACAGGTTACGATGATCAGTTTTGTCACGAGTGTCTGTACGCACTCAACAACCAGCCTGATGTAACAGGCCCCGTCAACCGAGACCTGTACCTTGGTTTGAACCACGTCATACAATCTAGTTCAAGTCGAAGTGGAGTCGGCGTCTGTTCAGCAAGGTTGTCATGGATGTGCCCTGAAGTATATTTTTGATTTTTTCCCTGAAGTGGACTAAAACATTAATGCCTTACTTTCATTTATCTATAAAACCTTAGGTATTTATTGTAAACAATGACAACCGTTTGAATTGTTTACATAAAGACAGAAATAAAGTTGGCATAAAATTCGGATTGTTTATTATTATTTCAAGTGGTATTTATTTTGCACACAACAAATATCATGGAGTTGATGTATATATTCAAACCATGACAGTTATTACCGTTTTCATAATGTCTTTTAAAAATGAAATGAATAATGTATGAAAACATTTCTCAAACAGGCCTAGGATATTACCCTTCCAGTCCATGTCTTTAAAGACCTGTAGTTAATTAGCTTTTAATATGTTAATAGATTGGTAAATTGAGGTTACTACCGTAAGCATTTTTAATTGTCCATTCATTTGCAATTGCAACATTTTGGCCCTTTCCGTCGTTCTTCTTATTCGGAATAATAGCCGACGACGTTCCGACTGATTCATTTTGTACAAAAATGTACGAATTTCTCCTTGTGAAATTGAAAGTGAAACGATGAAAAGATATTATGAACACCTTGAACTTATGAGAATATAGAAAACCAGTTCTTCTAAACAGACAAAGCATTATTCTAAGATTACACCAGACTAAAACACAGTATAGCAGGGTAAGCGGAAAGAACTCCACATAAACTAACTGCATACATATGTCTGCATAACATCTTATTGAAAGTTAGACTTAGACTATCAGTAACTTCTAGTGTATAGGAAGTAATCGAAATCCATTAGGTCTTTACATTACAAACGAAAATCTACCACGTACGGTAATTATCATTTATCAATCCAAATATTATATAATTAACCATACATGTCTGCTTGTGATGGCTACATGTCGCCTGCTTTAATACCAATCCGTGATAAAATGGTGATTGTGGTAGTTTACTAACGGGATCACAGCAGTATCCCACATTAATTACCAAAGCACATTAGCCACTGCATCGTTCCTGGGCAAACTGAGAAGAGCTACAATGCGAATGATCGGATGAAAAGATTTCATGATCAACCACACTGAAAGTGACCTGCACAGTCTGGTAATCGAACCCAGATCGCCCGATTAACAGTCCAACGCTTTACCTATTGCGCTTACCCAATAAATAAAATAATCAAGCTAGTAGTACTTACATTATTCTTATTCTTACGTATTCTTTTGTTAGTCATATTCAAAGCCTTGATACATTTCACATTTTAATTATTGCCTCATTACCTGTCTTATAAGTCTAGCGCTGCTCGCAGGTTTACCAGATAAATTCTCTTACTATGGATCAATAAATATTATTATAAATAGTAATATCTTTCAATATACAATAGTCCGGTGGCGAGGGCACCCTACCTCCCCCCCCCCCCACACACACACACTCACACACACACGGACACACAAATTGGCATAAAAAACTTCAATAAAGCACTGCAAGGGGAAAGAAGTAAGTTCACGGACTTTGGGCCGCTACTCCACTGCCCGCTATGAAGCTGTCAGAATGATTGGCACAAGGTAGGTTAAAACAAAGAACGTCGCTGTTTTGTTGCTAATCTGTACGTAACGATTCGTCATTAATGACCACCGCCGCCTGAATTTGTACGCATATAAATTTATATTCAGCAAAATAGTTCGTATCCTGCTATCTCATTAAGATCAGCTACTAAATTACATTACGCATGGAAAAATAATACCCCTTTCAAAGGTGAACAATTCATATCAAGCAGCATTAAATTGTCTTCACGAGTACCCTCCCTTTCCATTAAGTTTAACGAGATTGATTTAAAAATTATTATCCCAATTCTAATATTGTCGTTATCATAGTAAGTTGAAGGTGAGTTAAAAAGAACTTTTTCTTTTCAAAGTTATTACAAATTATAAGATGCACACTGACTTAAAATTTACCAAAAAATGTAATCCGAAGAAAGATTGTAAAATAATTATCCCATTAAAAGTACAATGTGTTTCTACGTTTACATCTAAAAAGCTGCGTGATATCTTTTTATAACCAGACAAAATTTTTTATAAAAGACTTATAAAGAGCCCAACTGAGGTCCAAAAGCCAAAAAAAAGGATAACAACAACAAAAATAAAATAAAAATCTTTTAACATATATCAATAAACGAAAAATTAAGGATTGGAAGTCCGATTTGAGTTTAATGCGTTTTAACGCTTTTTTTTTAAATCATCAACGGAGTCCCTTTAGACAAAACATGCTATGAATGAAGCTTCAGACCTCATAAAAAAGGATACAAATAATTAATTAAAAAATGTTCGGTCAGTCGCAAGCCGCTATCACTCTTTATCTTTGCGTCACTTAACTTCAACAAAGAACTTCTGTTACGGGAACAGGAACGTACATACATGTATTTCTTTGATATATCTCCCTGATGAAACACCCCACCGCATGTCTTGGTTATTTTAACGTAGAAATTGTAGAAATGAAGGTTAACCGTTATACATGTATATAAAAATACTTTGATAGTTGCTTAGATTATCATAAATTCTAAATTTGTAAAATTATCCTTAATTATAGATTTGTATATATTTGTACA